TGAAACAAAAGAGGTCTTTTTCATTTTCAATTTCGGAAAATTCTCTGCCTTTTTTGTTAATTAAAACTGGCGAAAGTTAGAGATGTACAGCGACTGCTGGCAAAGCGTGGAGTCAATAGAAGCCCTTAGCTACTACTACAAACTTTCGCATAAATTAATTGTCAGCAGCGTTAAAGATGGCGACATCTATGGTGACACTTGCATGCAGGCTGATCACGCGTCTTAGGCCATTACCCCGTAATATGTAATAAGAATTACAACAATATACATATGTTTCATTTAATGTAGTGATGCCGTTTTTGCAACGCCACTAAAGTTTGAAGATTTTGTTTTTTTTTTGTGATAGTAAATATTTACCTACATTTGTATGACATTTTGCTATTTTCCGCTGATAATGAATTAGGAGTTTTTCTCCCATCTGATGTGAAAAGGGCTATCTGATGTGCCTCGGAAAAAAATAGTAGTTTATTTTGTTATGCAGTAGCCGTTCTCGTAGGTTTTTGAGTACCAAGCAGTTAGGCTGTTATAAGCCATAAAAAAATAACTCTTGTGTTTTCACCAACCACTCGTATGTGAATCAGTTAAACTCGACTGAGTTAAAAGATTAAATATTATATACTGCACTTCTTTTTTCTAACATACATAGGTACTGTAGACCAAAGCAACTAATTTGCAAGGGGTTGCACAAGTTCTTATAGTGGAATAATGTCCAGGTCCGCCAAAACGGCTGCCATTGCAGAGAAAAAGTACAACAAAAAAATGATTGAAATTGTGGTTTCGGATAAGTATATGACAGCTAGGGTATAGATGTTCTGAGAATCATCAAGAGCCCTAGACTTTAATTTTGCATGAACATTTATATATGAAAATTTTGACGCAAAGTAATGACGCCGCATTTATTCACTAAAAAAAAAAAAAGTCTAAACAATTGTTTTGACTTTAAACGAAAATTTGTACATGCAAAACCGATTCTCTGCGTAGGTTCGTAATCGGTTATGAAAGCTAGTTTTGGCCCCATATAACCTACATTCGAGACATACAACCTAGATATAACAAGACACACGGCTCAATCGTAAACGACAACTAGCTACCGACTGCTCATTTTCACCCAGGCGACCGAGTCCATTGCCTTTCGGGATGCACACGGTGCGACATCAATCGACTATTCGCTAGCAGTAGGTCTATAATAGACACTTATTATGTTGTCTTGTTGGGCAGTTCAGTAGCTTTGTTATCTGGGAAGAAACTTCGGAGGATGAAGATGAAAGTCCGCTGATTCTAGCATAATTATAAATCTTACAGCTATATTTCGTCAATTCCAAATTGAAACAACTATTTAATTCAGAATCTTGCTCTGAGAATGGGGGTTGTGTAAGTTCTGCACTACCTAAATAGTAACAGACTTTTTTTGCAAATAGTTGCATGTAAGCTCCCTTTTGGCTACAGTATGGTGTTTTAGCATGTTGAAGACATCCATGCCTTCCCATTTTTCGAATTTTTGTTTAAACTCACGCTTCAAATTTTTTATTCCGTTCCGAAAAGTAAAGAAAATCGAGATTCAGTAACACGTTTTTCATTTCGACTTTCGATACATTACACGGAAAGTCAGAGATAAATATAAAGATAATCATACACGTGTGCTAGAAAGCTTGCTTTGGTGCATCTTCACTTTACAGCTCTCGACACCACCTGCGTTAAAAAATATTTGATATTGGTATTATATTAAATTACAATCCGGTGTGTAATGTAGATTCAGTACTCACAGTAAACCTCCTGTAAAATTACGAGTGTCGTATGAATTCTGATCTAACCGGAAAACATAATATTTACTTTAAAATTGCTTTAGTGAACAAATAGAGAAAAAATAGTTCAATTTTAGGTTGCAACGAAGAGCACCACGGTACATATTATGCTTTGTATTTGTACAGGTAACTCCTTTTGTATAGAATCCTTTTCTTTTTGTTGGATAGCAAGTGTAACTTACGCAGTTTAACTTTATAAACCACTCGTGCTTTTAGTCTTGAAGAATGTAATAAAGTTAAATCGAGATACCCTAATATTGTAGCTGAGATGCCATGGTGTCCCGCGGCTATTTCTGTTGGGCAAAATTAAATACAGCGTATTGTGGAATCTATTTCCTATTGGTGTTAAGAAACAAAACGCGTTATTAAAAAAAGTCGTTTTAAGCAGTATTTGTTAGATGCACTCAATAATATTCTCTATATTATTACGCGCAGCGGTTTTCTGCAGACTAACAGCAACGAACCTAATATGCGCTGTTCTGATCATAAGTCGGAAAGCGGATCATGCTGAGCGATAAATATGCCTGCAATTGTAGCTCGAATAAATACGACTTATAATCTCGTGTGTAAATCAAATAAACAACTATATTACTAAAGCCTCTAGTTCACGATTGGCTCTCAGATGTATAAAATCGCTCTGATTATAAACCCAGCAGGGGGGCCCGTTTCGGGTCCCCGCATGGCTCAGCTTATTCTAAGCCCCTGTCAAAACTCGCGTAGCGCAAGATTAAATGGCGGAATGTTAGGCCTGATGTAAAGCACCATGTGCCATGTGCTTTTTTGCACCCGTTGTCAAGTGTCCGGGCAATTATACCGATGAAATAGAAACACACGATGCTTGCTTTCTTTATATACAAAAGGACGTGCGGAACCTGTTTACAGTTATATCTGCCTCCACTACCATAAAAATGTTGTTTCAGCAATACAAATATAATTATGCTATATGTTAGTAATTGCTTTTTTATACTAGTAGATGCATCGTTCTTGCACACAGTAATACGCAATCGATTCAGTTATATCTCATTTATTTCCTTCATTATGCTTATCGGCAATCTAATGTCAATAACTATGTTCTGTCAGTTTTGTTATAATTAGTTTAGGCATAATCATTGCTCTTTGGAACATTGTAATGAACGATAATAATAATCATAATAATAATAAAGACTACGACATTATTCAATCTGAATGTAACTAATTGACTTTATTTCACAGAAGCACGACAGCGGAGTTCGTCTCGACTTGTTTGGGATCAGCGAAGTCACATTGCGTTGATTACAGTCTTCGCACGTATTGGGATAAAAGAAATGCTTAACGCTGATTCGTGCAATTTTCATTAAACTTTTATGAAGCAAAAAATCTTTTTTAGTCATTTTTTTTAAGCTCTATGTGGGGCTTGTAGCAGTCCATGTTTTCTTGGCACTTTTCGCGCCTAATTACCCCAGTGATGTCGTGTGGCCCACCCAATTTAAATAATTTTATTAGATTTTGTGCTGGCAAAAAGAGCAAAAAATGGTATTGATTGAATGCAAACATTATTAAGCAGCATGTTTCTCAAATGTCAACTACTTAGCATACATAATTTGAAATAGAAAATTAAACTTGGAAAAAAATTGATTATAAAAAACGTTTCCATGACAGTAGCGAATACAAAAAATATTCACTTGAGCAAATCACAGCCTTAGCCAGAATTGTCTTCATTTTCGGCTGGTTTAAAAATTGTTGATTTGAGCTACTTAATACAAAGCACTAAATAAAGATTCTGCTTTCTAATGTTTAGACCCTTTTCTGTGGCCGAATCTTTATCGTGAAAGCGGACCCGTCCTGCAGAACCTTCTCTGTGTAAAACATTGCTTTGAATTGAAATTGCCAGTGGGAATGGCAGTGATATCATCCGGACCGTCAGATGAAATCTTGCGAATAAGTTGTGTAGGAAACCATAGGGCAATGACATCCTTTCATAGAATTCTAAAAAAATTCAGCACACCAAGACCTATTAACAACCGTCCATTTACTTCTCACAATTTTAAAGCCGATCGATAATGTTAACGTATGATTTTGACTCGGCTTCAGCGGTTATGTATAAATACACTATTCATTCGCAAGACGGTCTTTCGGAGTTCTTACATTTAGACCATTTGTATTTGCTTCTTATTCTAGTATTTCTAAGTATCTCAACCACAATAAGCACGACATGCATATACTCACGATACATTTTTTCTCTACCCTAATTTGTAATTTTTCGGAGTGGACTCTGTGTAACAACGTATGGCGACCAAAATCTTTAAAGAAATCTCAAATTTTTGAAAATAATTTCAGAATATAGAAAGAACTCCGAAGTCTAAAACACGAACTACGATGATTTTTGCGAGTACACAAGCCTTCGGTCCCCAAAGACCTAAAGTAAAATTCAGGCGTATGGCACTACCCTATTTTGCTAGGATGAGCCGAACTTTACATCAAAAGGCAGCAGGTTTGTTAATTCATTTGTTCACTTACACTTCTATTTTTCCATCTGATAGTATCAAATAACCCTCCTATGGATTTCATTTTTAGAATTAATTTTAGAGGAGACATCGTTAGAACATGGGTACGTCACGCAGGCGCAGCTGGGTAGAAGATCAGGAGTACAATTTTTTTTCAACGCCAGTATTTGATTTGCGAGTTTAAGATGCTACATGAACCTAAATGAGGACATGCCCTTGACGTCCAGGGGTCCAACACCATAATTTTGCTATTTATAAATTCAGGCACAAAGAGAATTGGTGTCAAATATTTGTCGATATAGCTGTACAGCACAAACAAATACAGCTTATTAAATTGCCAACAAGGCTTTCCAGTAATAATAGTGCATCAGCTTTTTTCCTACCTCTTGTCGTACATATGAGACATAACAATGAATTTATTTATGGACTTAGCCAAGGGTACTTAAAGCATATTTTGTTTTCCAGACGAGGTAGCTGGTGCTTTTTTTATAAAGAATTAAATTTGAAAAATTATTTTTCTAATTTATAAGGGAATCTAAAGATTCCAGAAGGAGTTAAACCCCAAAATAAACTGTTTTCATATCACGTTTATAGACCATAAGTACGAGACTTACTTTTAGCAAATTAAAGATATTAACACACACAAATATATATGTATATATACATTACTGAATTATACATAATTCAGTAATATAATGAATTAATAACTCGTTCATCAATTACCTCTGTTCTTCTGTATAATTACAAACTGGGAGTCTGAAAATACAAAATCGTATATTTCTCAGTTCACGTCATGAAATACACACAGCACTGGTTAAACACGATTCCACTTCATTTATATATTTCGTTGGCTAGAATACAGATACATTTCTTCTCTTATATAGTTTTTGTTAACGCTAAAATGATAATTCGATAGATTTTTCATATTGTAGGCCGTGCCTTGCCAATCAGATTTATAAGTATTGATCCGTACCAAATCCAAATATTAGATTAAATTGCTATGATAGCTAGGTGTAATTGCTGATTTTTGCCGGCTCTTCATTAGTGATGATGTTCAGCATGTTCAGCAGCTTCCTTCTCCCTCCTTGCCATCCAGGCCTTGTAGTTTGCAGGCGAACAAGCTAACCTGAAGTTCAAAAAAGAAACGAAAAAAGGTCACGTACCTTTTATCTTCGTGAATAAATGAAAACGATGAAAGACAACACTTCGCAAAAAAATTCAGTCAATTTGTTTGTTTGGGCACTGTTTTGACCTGCTAATGTGTTTATTAATAGAGCGACACCCCGAATTAGAACCATTTTTTATTAAAAATTTTAGAATTAAAAATTTTGCCGCTTTAGGAAGAGGTATACGGTTTGCCAGAAAAACCTCGCTAAAACGTTGAAAAAAATTAATTCTATAATCTTGCGTAATTAGTTAAATGTGTTTCAAGAGCTGTGCTGGTTATTTGATTGTTTTAGTAGGTTCGAAAATGTTCTTGACTCTCTAAAATATGGCATTTATATTGACTTTCCGTTCACGTGCAATAACAGCATTAGAATTGAATAAATATGATCGCATACCAACGCAGTCGATAGTATCTCTTGTATGTTTTTTGTTTGTTTGGTTACAATTGAAACAGAACGGTCATTCCTTCTACCGTGTCACCTTCACCTCCAAAGACAATTCTTCACTAAACAATATATGTACTATGATGAGAGTGTAACAAACGAGCATCAGAATTAATTATTTTATGTCGAGGCGAAGAAAAAAGTTTTTTTTTATTTGCAAACTTTTAGTAAATTTTATGGCGTTAAGTTGATTTTATCGTGAAATAATCACACGTCTCTGTGATGGCTATGACCGCGGCAAAACTGGAATCATAAGCTAGCTTTGGAAATGTCACGTGTTCGAATTTTCACATCTGGGCAAAAGCCTTTCTACGGAGATATTTTTGACAAAGGAAGACTCTATAATGATAAAACTTTAATGAAGACCATGCTAACAAGGTTAGAGGGTCACACATTTGCCGAGTACGTAGCTGCAACCAACGGCTTTTGAAACCAAGAGATACGCGATCTTGTGATGTATTGCGGTCTTTAACGCATATATATATATATGAAGTATATTTGTCGGAGTTGCACAACTTTTGTTAAAGTCGTAGAGTAATGTTACTTTTCTAATATCGTGATTATGCATATCTGTCAATAACTTTATAATTATTAACACCATACTAATTATAAATTGTGAGGTTCGAAGAAGCAGACTTTTCTGTGCACTGTGAAAAAATCGGTTTAGAAACCAGTTAACCGATAGCAAGAAAATAATAGTAATGATAGTAAAAGACTTAATTGACAAATCAGTAAACGTAGTAGCGCAGCTCACATGCCCTGCAAAACCTGATGCTAGAACCAGAGTCTCATGGATATATTTCGACTAATTCACTTTTGCGCATCTTCATCGATATACGCGTAGAAAAACGGGTTGAAATCAAACCTAGCATTTATGAGTACCTCAATGCAATGGATTTACCTCACCTTCTATCTAGTACCAAACCATCAAGTCTACGGGGAATATTTGCCCCCAGCGAACTTAAAGCATCACTACATTATTCATTAGTTGGCTAGAACAAGCTGGCGAAGTTTGTATTTGCTCGTGTAGGCAGACGTACCTTTGAATCCTCCAGTAGACGTACACGCTGGCCAAGTACCCCAATATGAAATATCGGAAGAACCATATGTTGTCGTAATGGAATTTATACGGGAATTGGGAGATCTTAGCCGTCCACGTATAGGGGTACACCATCCGACGGCTGTTTCCGGAAGAAGTTGAGGCTTGGCGCCCCGCTTGAAGTACCAGTGCCCTGGTCACGATGGCGCGGGCCCCCTGGAACATTGTTTCCGGTGTATTCGCTGCGAACTTGCACTTTGTAAACGCAGCAAATAACTTTCCGATATACAAAAATCAACCAACTGACAGCGGCTTTGCGGAAGGTCACTTTCGAAGCACAGTGCTAGCAGACCACAACGGCACCATAAACCATACAAGCATAAGTGCGGTGTGTTGAAACCCACTTAAATGACGGAGAGCAAAAAAGTGCAAAACTAAAGTTGTCTGGGGTGATGTGTCAGCACAATATTTAAGGTATAAAAACTTCAAATCACAATTTACGGAGCACTTCAGGCTACTCAAGATGAGCTATTATTGAAAGATGGCGTTAACGTCTCATGGAATTAGCCTCTAAAAAGTTATGATCATAGTAAAACTCGGAAGCGGTGCTGCTATTTGAGGCAGCTTTGTTTATAGCTCTACACTCAGATTGCAGCCATCTTGAGGTGTCCGGGGACATAACCTTTAGGAGTTGACTGTGTATTTCGAACTTTTTCCTCAAACAAATATGACACTTTTCCACAAAATCGTGAGCCGGCTAGGTTATCTGGTGAGTAGTGTATTTGTGAGTTGTCTAGAAACCAGAAAAAAAGGTTAAAGAGTTACACCTGTTATTTTGAACGGCTACACTGAAGTGTCCGTAACACATAGTGTGAAACAAAACGTTCGAACTTATATTTGGCTCAAGGGGGATCTCTGGAGGAGGATTACAAATGTTTTTGATTTTTACTTTAAATTGTCAACCAAATCGCTGTATATAAGAAAACAAGCGCCGAATCGTATCTATTCTATTTACACGCCTATAGTTCAAATTTGTATAAATTGATATACAGATAATCAGTCATTTATTCCGTACTAAATATATAAAAATGTGATGAATTTTCTTTGTGCTCATCACGAAAAACAACGATTGATCCTGTACAAATGTTACAGCAAGACAAGACACGGCTTCGATTAGCTTTCCAACTTTCCAAACGTTTTCCTATTCGCCGTTCTACTTTGAATTCCAGAAAATCGTACCAGTGCGCGATTAATATATGTTCTTTTTTTAGCCTATAGTCTATTTAGTCGAGTATGCTGTATAAATGTCGCATAGCTACGTAACGCATAGGCAAACGCGTTAATAACATGACGAAGAACTAAGGAGCACAAGCATTACGATGGCCGCTAGTTCACAGAAGGCGATGGTCTGTATGATAGGCATTGAACAATTACATCCACTTAGGTCGGCGGTTTTCCAAAAAGTCTTTCTCATAATTATACATTTCAAAAATGATCCAAGTAAATAAAATTATTCCTAGATATATTTTTTCATATAATATCAGTACACGTCTACTGTGCAGCTCTGTCTCTAGTTGGATGTCCGCAGATGAGTGCTAATGCCGTTTCAGATGGGAAAATCCAACAATTTGTTTAGACGATAACGTACCTAAAAGAAGATGAACAACTCGAAGCTTAATGTAAGCATTTTTATAAGAAATGCTATTAAGTCTTTTATTCGATGAATAGACCATAGAAAGCGTACGTAACCAGTTTGTCTTCCGCGTAGTGCTATCCTTAATAATCTTACCGAGAGTGCAAACGCAGAACGATCGTAAGATATCCACTTGGTCTCCTATGGGTTTTCAGGCTCCATCTATTGCAGCACGTACCGTTGGAACATCGGCAACTAACAACTTGGTCGCTTTCGTAAGTGTCACATATATATCACTCTTAATCTCACCTTGTTTTTAGAATAAATATGACATAAAACAAAGTTCTTGAACCATCCGTTCGTACATCTTGCTGTTTTAATGTAATAAATATTATTGGTCATCACTTTATCTTTATTTTGCGTCGCTAAAAGAAAGCTAGTTAGCTTCGAGTTTGTAAAGAGACCGATCTCGTTTAACTAGGCCTGTATATTAGGTAGGCCTAACGAAACGCCAAGGATATGTATAATGAAATACAGATTCGCTATTTTTTTTTTAGTTTCACTATTATAGTAAGTCCTTTTTTTTTTGAAGATGTAATCCTTTAGCATAGCATAATTTATCAATATTTCGACTAGCGTCAGCTATATACCGAAGAAATAATCTAATTGGTTTTAATTACATTCGGCTACCTGCAATCCGAAAATAGACGCCTGTGGTAAGTGCAAACGAAAGCTCGTGCTTATTGAAAAGCGTGCACTTTAACTAGCTTTCATAAGTTTCAGCTTAGATTTTTTTTGGTGAGCTTGATTCTAGTTGTGTTTACAGTAACAATAGTGGCTTGAATACTTATAATGACTCTGCTAAAATAACATTAAACGCTTTATGTCACATTCTTAGTGAGCACTTTAATTAGATTCTATTCCATTATGCGACCTTTTGACAAACCTGCAAGAAAAGTACCATAATAATAAATAACCGTAAAACGAAATACCAATTTAGGGCTCTATCATAAGATGCTTGCACAAATTAAAAGTTGCAGTTGTTTCTTTAAATTAAGAGCAAACATGCTCGCGCTTTTACTAGCACCAACTAACTGAACACTGTTTTTTGTATGTGAAAGTTATGCTAGCGCGTTAGTGCGTGTTTATGGTCGAAGGTGTGCCGGAATACTGTAACGAGTTGGAGGTCTTGGTTTAAACAGCTTTTTTTAGTATATTTCTCGAATAGAGCTTGCTGGTTTCTTAGTAGGCCATTATAGCCTGAAGCACGTCACCAAATATATGCTAGGTTTGTCCTTTGTCTGCACTGCTTACTGACAGTGAACGAAACGATATAAAATAACTAACATGCATTTCACTGCACATGTCAACCTATGCAATTGTGCCATGGCTTCTCTCGCGGTTAGCACGAGCCAGTGTCTCGTCCACAGCAGAACATCAAGTGTACCCTAATTCCCGGTGATGGCGTAGGACCCGAGTTGGCCGAGTGTGTTAAGGCTGTCTTTTCAGCTATTTCGGTACCGATTGATTTTGAAGAAGTATTCCTTTCTGAGATTCATCATACGATCTCGGCGCCCCTGGAGACGGCTATTGATAGCGTCAAAAAGAATGGCATCTGCCTTAAAGGGACCCTCGAAACTCCCCTCAATTCTCTAACCGGCGAACTCCAAGCCTGGAACATGAAAATTAGGTTTGTAAAATACATTATTAAGAAACACAGCTCGAATGCATGCTCGAAATTCCTTGTAAAATGACAGTTTATGCACCAACCTGACCATTTGTTTTAAAACCGGAGACGTTAAGGGATGGGTACTATCCATAGCTTAATTCAAATGAGTCTTTGAAAACTAGCTAGATAGTTTCTTTTCCCGAACCTTCCGTAGACTCTTTATGATGTTATATTAATTATATTCATTGCGTATTTGTGACGGCAGAAAGGATTTGGACCTATTTGCGAACGTGGTGCACATCAAGTCGATGCAGGGAATAAAGGCAAAGCACAACAACCTAGACTTTTTCGTCATTCGCGAGCAGACTGAAGGAGAATACTCTGCTTTGGAACACGCGGTACTTCGTTACACTGAATCTCTTATTTTGCCCGTTGGCCTATTCGAAGATTATATCTCTTTTTTGTTGGTTTCATCTATAAAAATGTGTTATAAATGGCATGCTTATTGTAGAAGCAAGCCTTAGTTGCATAAATATTGTAGTCACAAGAGCTGCACCTCGATTGTTACGTGTGATGTGGCCAATAGCATTATGTTGGTTTTTTGCAATAAAATGTTATCGTCTGGTATTATTGTAGAGTGTGAAGGGTGTCATCGAGTGTCTGAAAATCGTTACCGAGGAGAAGTCCCGCCGAATCGCCAAATTCGCCTTTGATTATGCGACGAAACACGACCGCAAGAAGGTAACAGCCGTCCATAAAGCCAACATTATGAAGCTCGGTGACGGATTGTTTCTTCGTTGTTGCACCGAAATCTCCCAGCTTTACCCGAACATCAAGTTTGAACACATGATCGTGGATAACACGTGTATGCAGCTGGTATCAAATCCCCACCAATTTGACGTTATCGTAACTGGCAATTTATATGGGAATATTGTCGACAATCTCGCATCGGGTCTCGTTGGAGGTGCAGGGGTTGTGCCAGGCGCTTCATATTCAGAGGATTGCGTTGTCTACGAGCCCGGTAGTCGACACACGTTCGGAGGCGGTGCCGGCAAGAACGTCGCTAACCCAACAGCCATGCTGTTGTGTGCTGCTAAAATGCTGCATCACGTTAACCTCCATTATTATGCTATTCAGATTCGCGATGCTGTCGAAAAGGTATGATGCTGTATATCTGGGGAAAGTAGGATGTTCGTCTTATACTTAACGGTCAGTGAAGGTATAAACAAACCAACACGTCGTGCATACACGGGTGCTATAATGACTGCTTTTTTTGCACCAGCCGCTCGCCTTTTATAATCATATAACACATAACATAGAGTTTAATATCAGATATAGGGCCGTCTTGTCCCACGTAATAAGTTGTGTCATAATAAACTGTTTCATCCCATAGATATTCGAAACGTAATCACATATTGACTTCTATATTATTGCCAGTTTGTACGTTACCTGATACATTCACATATTGTTAGCTTACTATGCCGCTGGCACTATCAAAGCTAGTAGAGGTTTCATCTTACAGATGCAAAGTAAAGCACTGAATAAGACTCATCGCCATACTGAATCTATTGCAGGTAATCAAAGGTGGAAAGGTGCGAACTCGCGATCTGGGTGGCTACGCAAGTACTACGGATTTTTTGGGAGCTGTGATCTCCCAGCTGCCTCATTGAGCTGATCCAGCTGGCAACTACTGCTGTATGTTGTTTGATCTTTGTCACCGTTAGTTGCTCGTGTTTCTCGTAACAAAGAGTCAGCAGAAAGTCACGTATCTCTTAGTAATGGAATGGCTATTGACGCAGCTAATTACGGCATTCGTCAGTTAAGTCTGAATAATAATGATGGCCCTGCACCATCAGTCTGGCATCAATCGAGTTGGCAGAAACAATGGCAACTACAGAACTCTGGTAACCACAACAAAACATCTTAAATGAAATGTGGTGCGTAGCAAAAGTACGTCTTGAACGGTAAAGTGTATCAAGGCCGTGCAAGCTAAATGGTTATTAAAATGGTAGGAGAAGTTTTCACTATAGGGAGCAGCAAAATTAAACTGACATTAATAAAATAAGCAGAAGAACCCTTGTTTTTACTTGAAAGGCTAGAAATCGACCCTAACAGTGGTGATGCTGAGTTTAGGTTTGTATGTTAAATTGTAACTTACTACTTCGGAGAAAGGATATGTGTGCATGCGATGCACGGTCGATCTATAATAAATATTATTAGTTAATGTTAAAACTATCTTCGCTTTCCACCCGGAATAAACGATCTAGACTAACAAAGAAAGTAAAGGATGAAGGAGAATACCGTGAACGGGAGGAACGAAACAAAGGATTGCCTTCGTTAAGGAACGGAAATAGAGCGGAGAAGAAAAGAAAACAAACGAGCTAGTCAGCAAATACAATAAATTCTAACAAATAATGACACTATAACAATTGACATGTGTTTTCACTTGAGATCTACTTTTGTGCGCTAAACGGTTAATTGCAAAATGTGGGCGAAATATTGTAGCGAACGTGTCACGAACATGAATCGTAAGTGATTGGCAAGTACACAATAAGGTCGACACGGCGGTCACGAGATCACGTGAGTGGCTACAAAGAAATACGTCACGATAACACTGGATGGATATAGATTACGAGGACAGCTAAAGGTGATACTCAAGGGAACATGTAATAGATTGGAAATATTTCTAAAGCAAAGCAAATAATGCAAATGGACAGGACTTACGGAGAAAAAGCAAGAAGAACCTAATACATCAGGTGCTAATGAGCAGAGACTGTTTGTGTATTTCACGTTGACACTGATTAGCTAAAGACCGATGCTAAATTTGACCTGTTCAAAAGTTTTATTTGCCTTTATGGTTTTGACGCATGCTGTGTAAGCAAGATATGGCTCACTTGTCACACCGAGTTGTTCTTTCCCACGAATGATTATAATGTTTTACACTTACGTCGCATTTCACGACAAGCTAGTGGAGTAATTATCTATCTACACTATACCTTAAAATACTTGTGTCTACGACGCATTCACCTACTGATATACAGTCTCTTACCACTACATATAAGCGACAGAATACTCTCCTGAAAAAAATCGCCGTTATTTACTGAATCAAAAACTAGGTCACATCACATCCGACGCTTCACGGCCTCTGATTCCATATACTGAAAAATATTTGTTGTCATTTATATTAAAACGATAAGAGTACTAGACTATATTCAATATATTCAGAATAAGCAACAAATGCACACTTTAATGTAAGCTCTTTCTGCTATTGAGTGTCTGTGAACGTAACTGCTACGAACGCATCACTGCGCTGTTAGGGCAAACAAAAATGACAATCCTCACCAAAAAAACTCCAACTTCTCGTATGTCCAAGTGCTTCCACCATAGAAAATCCATGTTACAATGGCAACTTGCAGTTATACGGTATGTAAGCTGCGATTCGAGAAAACCAACATCATTAATAAAATGTTGAAAAATCTATTTTAAAGGTAGAACAAAAGCACTATGACATTCACATCTTTAATCGGAGGCATCATAGGGGCGTCCGATCACTAACATGGCAAATTCCTATCTCAAGATCAAAAGAGAGCCTCACTTAAACTAATATTATGATGTTGAATCTATTGTTACATGTTGATTAAAATATGAATTTTAATGTGCATCTGAGCCACTTTAGACGCCTCCCCGTTGCACATCTTCCTCCCATAGCCAACTTGGCCTCAGACAGGCGAAGTCTGCCTTTAGTCTGCCAATTTCCCAGTATTTGATAATGACATTTCAGTTAAAAAGAACAATTTTACATGTCTGAGCTTTTTTCCTAATTGGATATCCGCACCAGACCTCACCAGACCTGCCAGATTGGAATCGGTAACCACTATACGATTTCACATTTTTAACACCCTTGGCGAAATTAATCAATACCCTGTTGCCGCTTACGCCACTTACCTTCCGATTTCCACGTATTCTTCTCAAACCATTCTCTCGCATGCCCTATGCGGCTAATCATAGGGTCTTTAGCGTTAATGGATACAGTAAGCTTCATCCATTTCTAGCCATTGATCTCTGGGACGAGTATTCATGGCCACAGATCCAATGGAGCAATGTATTGCCTCATCGGGGTCTATGGGAATATCTTTCAATCAATTTTTGCTGGTTGCTACACGAACTTTTTTCCGCTGATCGCTGCAAAGATCCCTGAGAAATTCAAAGACTTGTAATAGTCCACTCAGCCGGATGCTATGCGCTCTGATCTTAATTGTGCAGCTGAAAGGTACTTTATCCAAAGAAGTTCCTGCTAAAAATAATACCTTATTTTAGAATGCTAATGGGAATACGAAAATTTAGCAGAAAAAATAATATCGCAGGAAGTTTCATGCAAATCTACCCACACAAGTTACTCGTATAAAAAATAAATTCGAAACGGATGGCACTATCCTTAGGACGTTTATCGATAAAGCTTCGGAAAACCAAGAACATCAATCAGCTCCGCCAGTCAAGAAAGAAAGCGACATGTTAACTACTAGGCTTATCACTCTGTACGTTCTAAACAATTATGTAATGCACACTGCTTTGCCCAGTTTTCACAGGAGTGCTTTGCATTGCACGCAAGTTTTGCCTGGGTGCCGCCACAGTGGGCTGGAATTACAGCATTGGGAACTGCTGATTTTGTCCATAGCAAGTACACGTTCCATATACCTACATATCGTCTTGGTTCACTCTTAGTGGAAATTGCATTACTGGGTACTTCTTATAAAATACTTAGCTTTGAACAAAAGCGTTCTACATTATGTACTATTGTTGATACTACTTAATTGCTAATACGTGTAATGTAAATACCATTGTTTCCTATGAACTTATCATTTTTTCACTTTTCTTTTAAGACGTACTATGCAAAAGGGGATACCTAGAGATGGTAAGAAATCATTATTAGCTTTTAGAAATAAATAACTGCCTGTAAAACGTTCTACAGCGATCGTATGGATATAGCGAGATTTTACGAGAGACAATTATAAAAACTTTGAAAAAGCTGCCAACTTTATATGACCTTTTTTGGAACAAGAACAGTCTGTGTTAGCAGGTCAATAGCCGGTTCATCTGTGCCATCTATACTGACTGTCTATTGATATACTATATGTTTCCAATGTCTTCATTGTGTAATAACATCGATTACCTTGAATCAGCAACTAAGGATCTTTGATAGAGGCAAGCGAAAAATAGCTGCGTTTGGACATTGAAGTCTACTCGTAGATGTGACTCACATCTATGAAAGATGGCGGGGGCGGCGGTGATAGAAACACGTGAAAAGAAGACGCAGACGGTAAGGACACCATGAGTCGATACCTTGCGCACCCTGCAGTAATCCTGCATGCAAAAGAGATCTCTTTTGCTTATACGAACCTTTGTAGTTAAATCATTAAGTTTAGCCTATCCGAAAATGTATTCTTTATATACAGAATGAAAACGTGTCTTAGTGTGGGTAACACAACATCAGCTAATTTCAACTAATCTATCATTCGGTAATAGGCCAAGCCAAAAAAGTCACTTATTATTGTTATGCTGATTATTTTAGCACTATAGAGTTTGATTGAGCTCCCCTTTGTTTTACGCATGAGACGCGAAACATAAGAGTAATAATAAAAGAGTATGACAGAGGTATCAAATCAGCATTTCGCACATTCAGATCAATCAGGTCGTTAGTCAGCTGCTATGTAGAAGCCCAGGTTAACTCAGGCCGCGTGAGTCATGCGAACCGCTAATCCTCGAGCGTTACTTTATTGAAGCCTTTCAGTAATAGACAGTTCAAATTATTAGATTACACTACTGCGATGCTCAAAAACAAAACGTTATGCCATTGCAGCCCGAAACTGGATGTTCTGCCAGTATGTTGCGACACGACCAAACTCATTTTGGCAGGGAACGCGTATATGCCTTTAGTCCCAAAAGGCCCCTTGAGGGGGCCTTATTTTGCACAGCGGACAAAAGCTCAAATTTAAGAGGTATTTGAATGATACAATGGATGATAGTTACACGGTGAAAATAATGTGAAAGGACTTATGGCGTGTATGAAAATTTTGAAGGTTCGGACAGGACTGTTTAAAGACGCGGGAGGGACTTAACCCACATGTTAGAGGAACATTTCCCGGTAAAATACCTACCGCCCATACGAAATCGGGGCTAGTGTAGATTATATAGTGAGTAAGAAGTAGAATAACTTGCGTGACTATGCAATGGGCTAATTCTAAGATCTGGAAAAATTCGAAGCCAAAGTGAGCCTTGACTAGAAATCGAACCGGGATTTTATGACAGGATCTGATGTCCAACGCAAGCAGTCACGGATCCTCTATATAGATCGATGGCTTTAACATAAAACAACAAAAGAGTTAAACAATTTCACGACTCATTAGCTACTGGATGTCTGCAAAGAATTCCAAGTCGTTTGCGTGTTTAATGTTCAGTTTAAACGAAACGTTTTCATTTCTTTAAGTACATACAAGATTCGGTTCCGATCCCTATACTCTAATCATTTCATCACACAGTCACCAGCAAATAAAAAACTATAACAATGATATGCCACCGACTTCATCAATATAGCTCAATTGAATAAATAACTATTTTATTAACTGAATCATTTATATCGTTATTTTTTTTGAAACAGTTGAAACAGACAACGTTGGGTAGCGCCAATAGAGATAACTGCACCGGCAATATTTTGTGTTTACATATATAGATATTCGCAATCTTGTATTCTGTACTTGTCAAAAAAGTTACTGCTCCCGGTTGCGCGTAGTAGGAACGGGCATATGGGCCCGCAGGCGCTTCTTATCGCCTTTGCTAGCTGTCGGTACACGTTACTAAACGTACCTCTGTGGTTGTGATTGCCAAGTCACACTACGTTTTATCCAAGAACTCTTGGTTTTAACAAGCAAGAGCAAAATATATTATTTATAATTAGAACGATTATTCTTCTTGCTTCCAATCACTGTCCATTCCAAGTAAAAATCCTGCACAAATATGTTGCGTCCAGCATTTCTAGGTCACTTCAACCCCGGAAATCGTAATAGTAATACCAACAAAAAAGTATCCTAATATCGATTTCCTTTCGAATACGATGCCGCGCAAATTGTGTCGGCATTAGCTACTAAAGATAAAAGTGGAGATTTTTTGAAAATCCCAAAGTAAACACATACGATGATTAAACACAAGTATTCTTGTACAGAAGTAATAATTTTCTCTGTTAACGGAAGAACAATACACCTTGTTAGATAAATCCCGGTTGTTTTTTCGAAAAAAGTTTTTACTATCAGCCTTCCTGTGAAAGCCCGTGTTCAGTAAAGGAATAGTGTGAGGAACATTTTCAAAGTTCCTCAAATGAACATGAGCAACTTCTTTTAGCCTTCGATTCATTCTAACAATTATCAGTTATTTAGCTATCATTTTAAACAACTTCTTTTTGAAGTTAACCTTTCCTTGAAGAAAATTTTTACAAAACTTAATATTCATGATATATCATGTTAATAACTGATAATTAAGTGTATAAGCTAAAACACGAAATAGAACTGGTTAAGAAAATGTACTTATTCCCTGAACAGAGAAATAAATAGATTAACCGATTGACTGATTGCATTGTTGACAAAATCATATTAACAAAATGAGAACTGCTGATATGTCGGTGTTGCAGTACAAGGCCAGTTGGACGAAAGCTTTCCAGTACTAAAATGTGGGCTCTTTTTCGTCATCTTGGCGCAGTTTAGCAATGGTTAAAGGCGGCTCTCAGCGGCATAACATGACATGCTTCAGTACCTTAGTCGTATTGAAAATAACGCTTTTCACACTATTGAAGAAACGATAAGTATTGGTCGTAATGGCGATTCAGATGATATGAACTACGGTTGCACGACGCTTAGTAGAGACTGGGACTTTTAGATGATCAGAAGTGTGCAGCGGCCTGCAAAGTTGATAAATTGACATGAAGCGTACTCACCGAATGATCTGATTATACTAGCGACATCAAAATGCTTTTGCGTACGGTACGGCTTCCAAATCGCAGACCAACATTACGATGTTATTCTTAATCGTTGTACACATCCTTGCATTGTAAAGCCCAACTTACACAGCAGCCAAATGCCTAGAGGGGACTTGTTAAATGATTTGTGTCCTAGTAGTTCTAGTCATGGTAGCACTGTCACGAGCGCTGGTACCACTGTAACTGCCATAGCAGATGTGGACTACAAACACTCTTGTCCTATCGGCGAATATATAAGGGTGTAATGCCTATAGCCCTTACATACAGCATGCATCTATGCGATCCGAAGCAAAGGCAGTTTGTGGTCAGAAGCATATAGGACAACTATTCTTTGTCGATCATCCAACATCGCCCCGGTTGGTAAAGCGGCTGGCGCAACAAAACGCCGTGTAACATTTGATCACAGGATATGTTGCAAGTACTCATTTTGAACGCGAACTGCGCCTCATGTTGTTTCGTAAATGCTTACAATGGGAACGCTGGCTCGGCCTACCCCGAATTTCGTTAGCGGCAGAATAATAACATAGTACTTGCGCGCCTGTGCTGTCAAGTAAGCCTACCATTTTCTCGTTTCTTGAAAGTATGTCCTCAAACATCACATCGTCTAGGCTTGAAAATATGTCCCCAAACATCATGTAGTCTGGGGCAGCACAAACGAAGTCCTGCCAACTGTAACGTGTTGTCATTGGCGTGTTATAACTAAAAAAAGGCGAACGGAACAGTACGAATCATGTCTTATTGGCATAAACAACAAGACTAAATGTTCTGATTAAAGATTTTTTTTTGTTTTGTTTAATTTGCTTTGGCTTAACCAAAAAAAAACGTGAATAATTTGACTACCGCGAACATATCTGAAAAGGTATACATATGATTGCACGTTGTTCCGTAAGTAGGTTCTATAGAATAACGCAAACCTAATCAAGTCGAATACATTTTTATTGCGTCACGGAAGGCACATTATAGGTTTATATGTTTATATGTTTGTTGAAAAAAAACTTTTCAAAGAACATATACTAGGTAGTTAAGAAAACTTCTTTCGTTTACTGGTGACTAAATTTCATATATCGCTTGAAAATTCTTTTTTGCGTTGGGTTTTCTTTGCAACTTAAGTTTATGCACATATTGGTGTTAATAAAAAAAAGTTAGTTTTATTATAGATGTCTAACTATACGTTGGATAATAATTAATACAATCGGTAGGCAATTTCGTAATAACGATCGTTAAAAATTTTGTTTCATTAATTTGCAACCTTCTTAGCTAGATTATTCTAATTTAGTTAGTTTTATTAATAAAGTACGGTTGGTATCGATTTTGAGTATTAAAAAGCAAATAGCTTGCAACTTGGACATTGTACGTCATGGGGGCAACAATACCTTTTTTAGAGGTGAGCTGTAACCAAACGAATGAATTACAGACTAACAACGACCTCAATTTTTGTCTGATTATTACTTTTCCTTACCACCCAATACGGTTTTTCTGGACATTTATGATAGTTATCAACCACATACGATTAAAACTAATATTTTTATTTGTATTTTATCATTTTACGAAGACTCGAATCAATTTTTTTCACAGATTCATTACATTTTATAACCTCTTATAGTTAATTGCCGTCAGACATTGTCAATAAAAAGAAGTTTACAAAAGTAGGACAGGTAGTTGCGCTCTATAATCTCTCTGTAGAGACTGGAGAAGTGCTATCAATGAAAAGTGGTAAGATGAGCGTAATAACCGGCTGTAGCTGCAAACAAGTGGAACTACGACAAACCAAATCGCCTCAAATTAGACAGTAAGGGTTCTTCTCCTGTCCTTGAAGTAACTATAAATGCGAAGCATTTCCGTTATATAAATTAGTTTTGGTTTAAAGAGGAATTGCTTCTTCAAGCCAACAGAACATATTACATAGCCTGTGTGAGCAAAGAAAGTTATTATTATAGATTAGACTTTACGTTGTCGTGTTTCAAAGGAAGGATTAATTTAGAGGGCACCGCTTTAGGTAAATAAGACGATAAATTAGAATAAGCAGAAAAAACGTCATGGGATTTTATATTAATGCACTTGTCACATTGCTGAATTCTCGTACGGTAGTCCGATTTATCTTCCGAAAGCATTACGCACCATCGTGAACAGCGCACGAAATGCCTAGTTGATCGTGTACAAAAAAGTGCATATTCTCCACTAACTAAAAGGTAGATAACCGGTCTGAAGACGTATCACAGATCGTCGCCATTTTTTTGGGTTTACGTAAAACATACATTTAAATATATTTGGAAAAGTGTTACAGGGCCCCGTTCTTTTCCCATAAACATAGAATAATGACGGAAATACGATGCCAGCTGAAGTTCTTCAAATTGTGAATTAAATCGATAATAGAATATAACTTTTTATTCGTCAATCCAAATTTTGCTCACTATCATATTTTACCTAAAAATATGTTCTTTTTCAATAAATGCTCTAGATGACAACAGTTAAATAAAAGGGTGAGTTAGGTCTCACATCGTTTGCACTGTGTTTAGTTTTCCTCACATTTTTGATGCCAGGTTTATTAATTAGATTATTCTTGTCGAACTACTAAGTTCACTCTGAGGCGATTAGTTATGCGCGGGACATCAACAGTCGAAATAGTGAACTGTAGTGATGCCTAACTGCATAACTACTAATTCAACAAACAAAAAAAAAAGAATTCGAAACACTGTTATTGATCTCGTTCTTTCAAGTACAATTTGCTGTACACCGGAAATCGCCCTTACTTTTTTCCTTCATCAAGAGGCACTAATAAATACTAGATAAATCGCGCAGTTACAATATGATGGTTCCGTCCCCGTGATGGTGCAGTAGTTAGGTGCTTGCATGCTAAACTTAGGAACACGTAGTGATCTGGGTATGAGGCCGGGTATTGCACGTCGTTTCGTGCAAAAAAGCCGCCCAAGGCAATGCTTAACTGCAGCACAGGATGTACACAAGTGTTTTCACAACACAAATATGTATGAATAAGCACAAATGATTTTTCTTACACGAATATTCCCCACTTTATTTGTATTACATAAGATACTACAACCCGCTTTCTTTTCCGATAACTTTGAATATTAAAAAAAAAATGAGAATCTCCTATCCACCAGATACGCGTTAGAATCTACCGTCCGTACTTTGCATGATATATCGTACACACTTTGTTCTCTATGCGCGGACGTATCCTTCCGTTAAAGTATTTGCCGATCAATGTTGTGCAGCGGCAGAATTAGACAGACTAGTTGAATTGAGGTTACCATTGTTAACACTGTTATTGCTTATAGAGCTACTATTACAGCCGCTAATGGCATTCGTACTATTATTTAAGGCCGCACTGTTGTTACCATCGGTGGTTGTAGCTGGGGCGTTGTGGCTGCTTATGGTACTACCATTACTAGTGCTGCTGCTGTTAGAGGCGGCATTCGAGGAGAAGACGCATCTTGCACGGAATGCATTAAATGAGAGATACATATCATTTTGGTCAGCATTTTGTTGTTGGGATGCTTGCGAGGAGCTACGGCCAGAATGACTAGACGACGTAGCCTGTTGCGTTCGCGATGTCTCGTAGCGAACGGGCTTATACCGCACACATTTGCGGGTGCCCAGACAACCCTTGAATAGGTAAAGAGAATTATAAGCATCCTGCTGCATATAACCGCATTGCAAGTTTTACTCAAGTGAAATCCCTTGCGAAGTGAAGAATGTCTGACGAATAGTCTCATTTGTGCCCTGGATAACCGCTTAATGACTCTAAGTATTTATTCGAATAAAATATAGTTTGGCATTTCGTGGACGTGCTTCAATTCCGTTAAGTCCGATATATTAAGGATTGACCGGAAGCTGCACTATCTGTTATATAATCTACGCGCACAAAAAAGTACCAAAACTATAAACACCTGAATAAGATGATGAATTGTAGGAGTAGAGAGACCGAAGAACTGTGCGCCCTTACCAGGTGGAAGAGCTGGTAAGGGTCGTGCTGTCTGCGATTTGGCTATCGCCGTATTCAGAGTTGCAAAAAGAGTTGACACCGCCTCATCGGGAGTACGCCCGCTGTATACCACAGCTGGATTATCGTCACCACTCACCTCAAACTAGAAATGGCACATTATTGGCCAAACATTATTAGAGTGATGTTCACAACTCCTCGATTATTTTTCTTGCTTGTATAATAGACTTTTGCAAATTGATTATCACATTTTTGCTTTTGATCCGAAGTTACCTAAATTGACGTATGATGTAAATATCTAAATAACAGAAAACCCAAAATTGTCTTTACTTTTCTGAGTAAAAGTTATTAAAAGTTCACTTGCATAAATCCTAAATTCCAACAGAGATTTACATCAGTATTATTAAAATTTGAGCCTTAAAGCAGTAAGTAGCGAAAGGAGCTTATCGTTATGTCATAAAGCTCCAATCCTACCTAATCCTAATTAGTTACCTTGGGTTCGGGTCCGTTATCATTAACTGTACAAGTGTACAATGTGCTGTGTAGAGGATCGGAGACGGCTGCAAATTCTCGAGAAGAACAAAAGCCAACGGGGAATAAAAGATCCTCGGTGTGATAACCTGGTCGTTTGTTATCGATTTCTCCTAAACAATGAACCTCAATGCCCTTTGAAAGCGCACAAAAAAACAGAACAACATACTAGTATTATGAATATCTATAAAGTGTACAGTATTGAGAATTTTCGCCGCCATAATTATAACACATGGCATGAACAGCGTACAATACATTATGCATAATATGCTTTGCGCATATTTTATCTTAAAACTTAAATTTTCACTATTCATGATATTTTCTTATTATTCACAGCAACAGAAAGACGATTTGATTCACTCATTTTTGAGACACTTGATATATTTGTGTCACCTTTTGTATGTGTTTGTCAATATAAAAGGTATTCTTAGTTTTAAGTGGATCCGATATTAAGCTTTCCCCTAAAAAGGATGAAAAAGATATCAATGAAATTCGGAAGCAGACGGGAAGCAATGAGGTAGAAATCGTTGACCTTCTTGATTTAAATGAAATTGATACATCGAAATTAAAAAATCATTGCGGCGACAGAGGTTCGCACATAACAAATGTTATCGAAGACCAGGGATGTCTTATTTAATAAGAAGGAAACTTAGAAGAATTTGAAATAGATACCGGAAAATACTTGACTGTATTAGTTCAGTTGAGGTGGACCTATAGAATAGAGTGTCGGTAGCTTGTGCTCCAAGTACCAGGAGTATATGCAGTTAGTCCTCACATTGAAACCTACACTTTTTAAAAAATCGACCGCAATCCATGCGACTAGATAGATCTCGTCCCAAAATATTATCAAAGATACTATCTCGATTCAAGTTCCTATCGTGCATTTTGTTAAAGGAGGATTTTTTTCAGGGAGGAACTTTGTGTACTCCGAACCTGTATAACTGCATAGATTTCTTCAGCCAAAAAAGTTTTATTTTGATTACCATTTTAATATTTATACATATTGTCTTTATGGTCTGAAATAGGACTAAGTGACGCGATTTACATTTTACTTTAATACGTATTTGGATGCATACATAAAATTTTGTCTAAGCTTAACGACCTTTTACGTAAAATATGTTCCTAACTAAAATTTATTGAAAATTTAGCCCAATAAATATGACTTGGCATAATATAATTAAAATACTGAGCATAAGAAGTGGCATATAACTGGCAGTCATGAATATGCTAGGTCATTCAGTAAAACCACTGATACTAGTGAATGATCCTCTACATTTTGCCAAGCAACTGCTTTGTCCAGGCAGGAGTGTAACATAAAGCGTAATGGAACTTAGAAGCTGTGTATCGTGTTGTAACACGACGACTCATATGTCCGCCGAGCTTCCGAGCAGTGTTCGTTATTACCTTTGCCATTGCCTTGGTAGAACAATACATCCACCCTCAGTACTCTATATATTTTTTTCTGAGCTGGCGGCATGCTGCTGCCTTTGGTAGTCTTAACTGCTGTCTCAGCTCCTCAGCTAGTACCATCGTTCGGTACAATATGTCAACCACTCTGCTGATGGATGGGAGATGGCACCTTAGGACTATAGAGCCACTGATGAAATTCCGTTACACTTGACTTGTGCCTTCACATTTAAATCTCTATCTTTTATAATATATTAATATCAATGTTACAGTTGTTACAGTACAATAGACAATGTACACAGTTATGGATGTGCCCATACACATGCATGTGCTTATGTGTATATAGAAAAGGACTGTCGTTGAATGCAACCGAAACTGAAATAAAAACGTCGATTAATGTATTCGTCAAAGACTCTTATTATATGGCCGAAATGATTTTAACATAATTCGCTAATTTACAAAAAAATTCCAATCGAAGGCACTTATATCATTAACCTATATAGCCCCACAACGTGACACTATATGGGAAAGAGGAAGAATTATATGAAATAATAATAATATTGTGTGCAACAAAACTCTAGGAAAATGCTTCCTAGGAGCCTATAACTATAGAATCCAATGTTGTATAATCGTTTACTAGGTAGGTTAAAGGTTTCATTTACAATCGGTACAGAAGTTGAATGATATGAGTTGCATTTGATTTGCAAATAGATAAAAAATAGTTAGGAGATAAGCTAAAGTCTTTTTGCAAGGCCAACTTGAACGGACCCAAGCCTGTGAAAAGTAGCCTTGAGACAGGTGAAACTCTGGCAGGAAAATTAGGTAATTATTTTGGCTTTTTATCGTTCAACACAAGTCCGGTAGAATGCGAGAAAAAAATGGCTATCCTGTGTAGCCCTACCCTTTGAAATCTGGCCAAAGAAAAACATCCGATAACTTGGGGTTTAATAACATTAGATTGGAAATCAATATTCTTATGCCAGAAAAAAAAACGGAGAGGCCATGCAGTCCTTATTCTTCCTGATATTTACATATATGTAAATATATATAAATCCCTAAAAAAGATATATATATATATCTTTTTTAGGGATTTAACGAGACGTTTTTTTGCTATAATGCTATGTTGGTCTGATTACCGGGAGTTCAATTGGGAAAATGGGCCTTCCCATCGAATCTAACGGAATTGGCTGAACGAATCGTTTATCCGAACTACTTTTCTTCCGGCCCCGCGATGGGGCAGCATTGTCCTTGGATTCTCTATTTTTACCGCCTTCAGAAATGTGAATATCTTTTGGTCTCTCCGGCGGGACTAAGAGCACCCGGCTGGCTCCTGATGGTAGGACAATACTGTGTTGGCCACCTGTTACACAAAAAAAAACCAAGGTTTTTTTTTAAGATAACTATTGAATTGCGCTCTCTTTGGCAGCTTTCCCTTAAGCTAGGGATACTTTAGCCATAGCTATACTCTTATGTCGAAAATCTAACAACCTTCGTATGTAAATGTTCGCTGGTTAGGGCATTCTGAGTTCGACACCCATGTACTTGTTATATATTATATACTTAAACATAGTAAAGTACCGCTTAAAGCGTGGATCTGAAGCGGTGAAAATACAACATAGAAAAATGCATTACGTATGTATTGCAAATTTTGCATACTATAAATAATAAAAGTATTCGAAATGCTATGCTTTTAACAGGCCAGTCAAATGCTTAAAGTTTCCCTGTGGACTAGTAAAATAGCTAGCAATTTATCACCGTGAAAA